TCGGGCTCTGCGAATCCGTCGACGAGCGCGATTAGGATGTCGGCAAAGTTGATGCAAAGCCCGAATCCTGGACCAGCCTCAGACCAGGCGCGAACACTCATAGCAAACACATGGAAAGCATGCCCCGAGGAGGTAGCGACATCATCGGCGAACGCGCTGGCGCAATGCACGGGGCGCGGCTGCGGCGGCAAAATCTCGCGCAAGACCGGGTCGATCGCTAGCGCGTAAAAGCAACCGCTGACAGGGCAGCCTTGCTCAATACCGCGGGAAACCCCCATGCGGACTCTACCCTGGTTGCCGCGATGTGGCATAGAAACCAATGCGCTGCTGCATAGGCACTGGATAGCTCTGACGATTTGCATCGGCATGCCCATCGCAGCGAGAGCGGCAAAGATCGCCGCGCGCAACAAACTCGGGACGGAGGCGCACGCGACGCGCGCGTTAAACCTGCGCTGGTGCGCACGACGTGGGACATGCTATCGCAGAGCTCTAAACTCTAGCTCCATGATGTTTTCTAGCATGCTGCGCCCAGGGGCACATCCACGTTCTTCCCGGATACAGACATGCGCAGCTTAGCGGACGATCGATGGCTAGACGAGCTTGCTGGCAGCACTAGACATTATCAATGGCCTCGCGACCTCTGGGTTCCCGGCGACAAGAACGGGGTCTCCTTTCTCCTTTGCCTTGACGTGAATATGCTGAGCCCGCGGTTAGATTTCTCGCGGCGCGCGCCTGCTTCCAAAATCTGCCCGCGCAGCTTGCGCGAAGGACGAGGCCCCGCTTCGCCAAACTTAGCTCGCGAAGTACAAGGCGCCCCATCGGGCCCAGGGGCGCGATAATGGATCTTCGAGGCCGTCGCCAGAACCCCCCCCCCCCAAGTTCCCAGAGAACGCTTGCAAAGGGCAGAGGTTCTCTGACCGTGCTCCAATAGCCCAGAGAGCAGGCGACGATCGGCAAGTGCATCGACGTGCACTTGGCCCCAGTGCGCAGCAAGTGCACGAGCGCCCTCGCGCGGGCAGGCCACGGGCCCCCCGGGCGGGCCAGACGCAGCTTGCAAGGAAACTGTGGCGGCCGACGCGCGGCGAGGTGAACGGCAGGCACACGCGCCATTTTCGGACTGCGCTTTTGTCTGGGCGCCCCGAGATTGCTCTGGGCCCCCGCGATCTGCCGGCCAACGCGCCGCCCGCGGAAGGCGAAGAGGTGGGCGCAGAGGCCTAGGTGATGGGAGCGAGCGCCGCCCTGCCCATCGCAGGGAGAACGCAGCCGCGGGCAAGCGCGCAACGCTCGCCGAACCGGGAAAAAAAAAACAAAGACTTGATCTGCGTGCTCCGCGCGCGTGGCAGCGAACGACCGCGCGTGTTAATCTGCGGTCGACGCGGCCCATTGTCCTCTAGCTGATGCTGAACGCGTCTGGCTGCCAGCTCGATCGCAGCCCGAACTCCTTCGACGCGCGCAACAGGGCGGGGCGGCGGCGGGGCGGCGCCCTCCAGGAGTCGCGAGGGCCTCGGGTTGCAGCGAACGCCTGGTGACCCAGGGGGGGACATTAGGAACGCTGGCGGAAGCCCCTGGAGCGAGCGCCACATAGACAGGATCATGATCACACCGCGTCCTTGTATTTGCCGCGCACCCCAGAGTCCCAGAGCCAGGGCAGTGGTCGAGAAGAACAGCAGCAGGAAGCGCAAACTAAATCCCGTCCAGCGTGGCCGAGGACACCGCGGCAGCTTGGTCTTCAACGCTCTTTCCAACGCGGCGGAAGATCTCGGGCAGCTCGATCTCCGTGGCGAAGGGAACAACAAAGGGCGACGAAGTGCTTGGCATGGCTATAAGCGACCTGACTACGCGTCCAGCGATCCGGAGGCCACCCTCGCCAGGGGCGCAGACATGGTGATCTCCCGCGACGAGCGCGTTCGTGTAATTCTTTGCGCGCGCCGACAAGACGCGCAGGCTTGCTATGGGCGTTGACGATTTGAGGCGCGCTCGCGCGATTGAACATGGTCACGGGGCGCGCGCGACCGCCCGGAATGGACGCGCGCGCAACGTTCGGGCGCAGTCTGCGAAGCCGAGGACAGATAAGTATATCCCAGCCGCCACTATGGGGATTGAAAAGAAAAGTACCAAACCCGTGATCTTGAAATCCCACGCTTGACAGGGGGAACCGACCCCGAGGGAACGCGAACCTCTTGCACGCATGCATTATCATGCGCACGTGCGAAATGCGTTACTTGCAATATCTTCTGCCTGCGAAAGCGCCGAGGAGCGCGCTGTGCACCGAAGAGGCTGCGCGCGCTCCACAGCGCAACTGGAAAAGCGGGCCACGGGCACTAGTGGGCGACGCCCTGCAGGCAGAGAGGGCCAATTATCATTTGAATCGCCGGACGAGCTGCTATTATTGCTCCACTTCCTTCCTTCTCCTCCTCCTCCTCCTCCTCCCTCCCCCCCCCTCCTCCTCCTCCTCCCCCTCCTCTGGAAGACGACGAGGAAGGCGCAGGCGAGGAATCGCTGCTGCTAGAAAGATTCAGCAGGGGCGCTCAGCAACAGCCGTCGCTTTGCGCCTCCTGCGGACCGAGAAAAAAACGAAATGCTCTTTCTCGATATGCAAGCAAGAGTTAAGGCGCCCCCCCCCCCCCCCCACCAATTTGGAACGAAGACTCCGGAGACATACCGTGTACTCTGTGTTGTGGCGCGTCACTGTCGCGACTGTCGCCGTCAACGTCTAGAGCTGGTCTGGACCACCCCGCTCCGCGATGACACCCTCCCGCTAACAGGTCAGAGGTGCTGGGAGAACATACTGACTCAATATCCATATCATGCATGTGCTTGCCACGCCGAGGTAGCCTGCGCACGTTCTAGACGGCTAAAGCTCCAACCGTGGCGCGGATGCCCGCGCCGTCGACGCTGAGAGGGTGCAGGGCAGCGCTGTCTGGATCTAGGTCGAGTTTTTGGCCTGTGACTGCGCATAGTTGTGCGCCCTCCTCGTTGGGCGTGCTACTTCCCAGCAGCCTGTGCCGTCTTCGCCACCTCAACCCACCACACCCAACTAATACGGTTAACCTGGCGGAATTCCGTCGGAGCGTCCACCCTCACGTTGAGCTCGACCTCGCTGCTGTGCTTCGTGTCGCGCCAGGACGTGCCAAAAGCGCGGGCTCGCGAAACGAAGTCTTTGGAGTGGTCATGAGCGTTGGACGAGATGCTGTAGGTCGTCGTGAAGGAGTGGGTCTTTGCTGTTGCAACAGTGCCACCTGGAATATGTGTGTGGATCAGAGCGGTAGCGCGCAAAAGAAGATCAGGAGCAATAGGAGGACGAGAGAAGCCAAAAATCCAAACACGATGAATATCACTTTCGTCCGTCCCACGGCTGGCAGAAGAGGCGACCGAGGCAGCAGAACTCGCGGTCGAGGCCGCCTGCTGATGCGCCACACTTGCCGCGGAAACCGCCGCAGTGGAATTCTACGCCTGGAGCTGATTCGCGTACGTCTTGTCAGTTCATCCATGACGAGCTTGCAGGCGATCTCGAAGTTGGTGTTGGTTTCGTTTTCAAGCCTTCCCATCCTCGCACCAAGACCTAAACCTGCTGCTGGTTGAAATCCATGCTGCTGCGGAGCTCGTTCATGCCCTCCTTGGTCGCCGTTGAGTTCTCGGTGTTACCAAAAGATCTGAGCACCTTGGCGAGGTGATCTTCAGAGCCCTGGTAGTCGTCAGCACGAGCAAGTTCTGGCGAGGCGAGGGGGCGGCGGTGTCGATGGCAGCCGAGCCTTGCGAAGCAGGACTCACAGGCCCCGAGCAGGAGGCGGCCGCCAGCGACATAGCTGGAAGCACAGGCAGCTCGAGTCGAAGCAAAATACGGTGAATCAGACAGGACTCGCGCCTGGACGCTCACGTGAGGATCGCGAGCTGCCAACAGCTCTCGGGCAGGGCACATGAGCTGCCCTTCAGCTGCGCCTCAGAGTAGAACCGCAAGGCAACGGTTGCAACTTGAGCCGAAATGGCGATGAAGGAGGAGGAGGAGGAGGAGGAGGAGGAGGAGGAGGAGGAGGAGGAGGAGGAGGAGGAGAGGAGGGGGGGAGGAGACCTGGAGCGCACAATGCCCTATTCTAAACGAGAACCCAACACAAAAAGGTTTGGGACAAAAATTTCTGTGGGAAACGGGTTCTGGACACCTGAGACTTTCCTCACGGACCAGCTCGTGGCCTTCGGCCATGGTTTTGCGGCCCTGGGGCCCGAGGTGGGCCCCAGGAGCCCGAAGACGGCGGAAAACCTCAGGACCCGGGCCCCTCGGGAGCCCTTCCCTCTACAGTCGACGCGCTACCATAAGGGCCGCCAAATCAGCAACGAAGGGGCGT